GATGTCAACAGGCTGGATGGTTTACGGCCTTTGACTTCAAGGTGGTTGGAATTTGTGCTTGATGAGAACAAGTTTCAAGTGAGCTCATGTGGTCCTGTTGAATTTGCACAGGAGGTGTTAAGACACATATTTTAGCAAAATAATGGAGTTCCTTTGAAAGTAATTGTCTTTTCATTTCCAGGAGCTTGTGTTGTTCTTTGAGCATGAATTCTACTTTCATATATAGAACCTTGCAAGTTTTCTTCAGAAAATATTGTTCTCCTTTATGTGCTAAGTGATCAGGCTTTGTATTTGAAATGAGTCTGCTTGAAAATATTTTTTTAACCAGTTTGATCTAGGATAAGGGTAAGTTTGCGAACACAAGATTTTTGTATATACTTTCTATTACAAAGATAAAATTAATAAGATCTGGTATAAACCTGTAAGTTTTCTAGAAAAAAAAAGTGAGTTTGTAGGGTGAAAGAATAGCATTTATTGGAAGAGCTCATAGAGCAGGAAGGGAAGAAATGAATGAACATTCCAGTGCACAAGTCTCTTTCAGATCTATTTTTTTCAATGTTAATCTTTTTCCTTCTAATATATATTACTGAGCTAATTTAGAAGTCATCCAAGCTAGAGCCCTAGCTGGGTATGAACATTTCACTTATGGTAGGTTAAACCATGTTTCTTTTCACCAGAATGAAACTGTTATAAAAATACTTCATCTTTGGGATCGCTCTTGCTTAGTATTTAAAAAGCATTAGGGGCTCCTATACATGGCATATTATGTAATATTCATAAATAATCATTAAACAACAATAATCAGACTTCTATCCTAATTTGTTCATCTCTACTGGATTAATTTTAATATGCTACAGGGTGAGGTATTTGTCAGTATGTACACTTTTTTTTTCTCTCTCTCTCTCTTTTTTTTTTTTTTTGTAATCTGTCCATTTCACTTATGTTTTAAAGATGTGTTTCAAAAGATACACTTAATATTTTGTATTTGCACAATGTTTAAATGAAAAATATATAGTCTCTTAAAGGAATCCACTTGTACTTCATACTGAAATGGAAAAAAAGTTGCAGGAAATAGATTGAAAGTGCATATTGTGTGTCCAAATAACTGTTGAAAGAGCCATTTATAGCTGCATTTTCCTATGCTTGTATGGTGAACACAAAAAAAAGTAAAGAATTAAAAAAATAAATAAATCAGAACCGTGATTGAAGATAAGTAACTGCAGATGCAAACTCGAAGTGTACTTGTGTGTAGAATGGGTTGTATTTCTATTTCTTTTTCTGCACATGGAATATCCAGGCTGTAGGAAGACATCTGCAGGTATGATAATCCAGGTCAGAATATGTAACTGACACCATGCTGACACCAAAATATCAAGTAATACTGTATTCTCTACCCACCCCAAATAATTAAACACTTCCTTGGAAAAGAATATCAGCACTGTAATTGTAATTCTATCATACAATTATTGTCCTTGGATGAGGAAACCTAATCATTCTCTAATAAAAGGCAACAAAAAAAAAGAACTTTTGTTGATTTAAAATTAAGAGGAAACTTGATATGATGGAATAAACAAAGGCTATCAAACTAATTACAAACTGGAATATATTTTTGACAGTATGAAAATTAGAAGAAATCATTTCCAAATGTTAGAAATACAATTAATGATTGGAATAGTACCAATCAAATTTTACTTGCTATGCCAAGTTTTATTTCTTATCTTGTAAATCACAAACAAATGTTATAAACAAGCCAACTGCTAGAGATGTGATTAATCAGTTTTTATAAACATGCTGATGCCGGGTGACTAATTTCAAGCAATGAACATAGAAAATATGGAGAATCAGAAAAGAAAAAGTTCCATCTTAATATGAATTAAGAGTTGGATTTTTTTTTCTTTTTCCAAGTTAGGTAAAAGAGCCTTGTAGAAGTCCCTGCACAGGAGCTGCATTGTAGTCAGCTCCAGCAACATTGTCTGTAGCCAATGTCAGGATCTCTCCATCTGCAACCCTTGATGTTGCTGCTTCAGCTGTGCCGTATCCTAGCAGGGGGCCCTAACCTGCCTGTGCACCCCATCAGTAGCACTTCTGCATCACAGTGCAAGGAGCGATACTTCTGCCACTCACAGTCATCCTTCTACTCTGACCTCACAAAGAAAAAATGTTCCATACAAAATTAATCCATAGTGAAAAAACAGTGAGTTTACCTGAACCAAATAGTTTCAACTCTGGACTCTGGTCAGAGTGAAGTTTCGGAAAGGAAACATTTCAAAAGATTGCCTTTGAATAAACATTATGAGATATTATGATATTATGAAATATTATTGCATGGGCAATGGAAACATCACATGAAACATACCGCTTCAATAAATTCACACTCTCCCTTTCAGAGGCCTCCATGTAAAAAAGACTAAATAAATTGAGGGGGTGGAGGAAAATGGCAGCTATCATGGTCAAGGGAACTGATTTAATCTGCTTTCTGGTGCCTAGGGGTCTGACTGGGCTCTTGTATAACTGATTTTACAAAATGCTGGGCTAAATATAGGACCTGCCAACTTCAAATGAACTTTAAAGTGTAATCAAAAATACAATTCTGAGGTTATGATTTTGTGCCTGGACATACAAAGTGTTTTTATTTCCTTCTTTGAAGACCTTTGGAGACTTTTGCATTCTTCATCTTCATAAAATTTCTCTTTGTATACAACAGCTTTCTTATATAGTATTTGCCCCTGAAACTGTGTTCTAATCTAACATAGAAACCACAAGACTTTGAGTAATGACCCTATGTTTATTCTTTGCTTTGATTGTCTTCTATACAACAGCTTCTCTGGGGAAAAGACAACAGTATTCTGAATACACTAATGTAGGTTAATTTAACTTAATGTCTCACTTTAGCCCATAGTACTTGCTGGAAGAAATATTAATGTGGGAGTTTTTCAATTCTCAGTGTAGTCTTTGTCAGGAGTATGAGATGTCTGAAACAAGGTAATTAAAGAATCCTTAAAAATGTTTCAGTGTTATGATCTTCTTTCATATTTTATAGTTTGAAATATTTCAGCATATCTTTCTGAAAAGGAACTGAGAAGCCAGTCACATTAAACAGCATTTCTTTTATTCTAATCTAGCCCCCTGGTCATACTTGATATCATACTCTGTTGAGTTTCGTAGCTCTAGCTCTGAAACAGTGCTCAACACTTCACTACACTAGCATAGCAGAGATTGCTTTATAGACCTGTTTTGCTGAATAAATTTCTGCAAAGGAATATATTTGCAACTCTGAGAAATCTCCTCACTAGAGTGACACTTTTTCCTCCCACTCTTAGGACATTTTCCTGATTTAAAAATGCCTCATCAGTAGCTCCGTATGTTGGTATGCCGCCATACCGCTTTTTCTTCCATCTCTGTGCTTCATGCATGATGAGCAACAGTCTTTTTACAAAACTTTCCTCATTAGTAACTGTATTTAGCTGTTACCTGTATGTTTCCCAAGGACTGTGAAAATATGGACTCTTCCTTACAGACATTTTTTTTTTTCCCAAGAGCAGCATAAATATAATTCTGTATTCACAAAAATGTCTGGAATATAATATATAACACTATCATGATATCATGACCTTATCTTTTGAAACAACTCACACATATGTCTTCCATTTGTACTATACACAGAAATGTTTGTTTATGCCAAACTGTGTTTTCTTTACATAATTAGCTACTGCTGCTTTCATAGAGTATTTCATCCAGCTTTTTCTAATTATCCTCATATGTTCACAAACATATTTGTCCCTAATGCTTTCTTTAGGTGCCTCGTGTCTGAGTTAACACGTATTGGCAACAAAGAAAAAATTGACTGCTTCTGGAGATGTAGAGGAGGTTTTTCAATGATTATTTTGCAGTAATTGCTATGATTTTCCCTTTGTAGGCATATGGAAACACAGTGAATGTAGGAATGAAAATGCTATTTTTTAATCAAATGGGTTATTGGTGGCAGATAATGCCATTCATCCATTTGCGATTGTTGACAATTGTAAGTATGCAGCTACTTATGGCAGCATAGCAACAACAAAAAGAATGATAAAGATGGCATCTTTTGAAAATCTCAGCACTGTAATTTCTGTTAAAAATATTCTCCTGTACAAATAAAAAGTTAGTCTTAAAAGTTTAATTTTAAGAGTTTAAAAAATAAACAAACAAGTTTCTTCCTTTATTGGTCTCATGTATAGTCTCTGTCATTTACTCACAAATCCTGATGAACAGCAATTAAATAGTAACTGTTTTGGACGAAGAGCACACACTGAACCCAGTTTCCCATAAAGGACGTAGCCAAAAGCCTTTCTTATTTGCACAAACAGATTTCACGTTTGTGTGCACAAATTGTACCATAAAGGGGCCACAGAATCAAGGTGGCAATCATCACAGAATCACAGAATCACAGAATCAATTAGCAATCATGAATGCTAAGGGCCTGGCACTCATAGCATGTGCATTTCAGGGGACGTTTACTTTGCTTTATAGATTTACAGTCTGTGGGCTGAATATTTTAGGGATTGGAAGAGCATTCTCTGGGAGCACATCTTCAGGTTTGGTTACACCTGAAAGAAAGAAAGCTGTCTGGACATGGTTTCCTCTTAAAGGAACCCATCTGGACATGGTCCTGGGCAAGCAGCTCTAGGTGTCCTTGCTTGAGCAGGGGTTTTGGACCAGATAACCTCCAGGCTGAGCACTGAAATCCTGCTCCCTGTGTGAATCAAACCAGTAAGTGGGGATGATCAGAAGATTCGTCTCAGCAGCACACTCCTGAACGAAAATAAAACATTAATTTGGGACACACAGAGTTAGTCAAGCATTCAACCATTCAACTGCCCTCTTTATCATACTTGTACTGAATTCAGGATTGTAATTATTTACAAAATGAATATTCCAATGTCTATTCCCTTTTCATTGCCATATGTAAGGTTATTTTTTTAAAAAAGTCTTTTTTTTTTTTTTTCTTCCTTTTCTCCTAGAACAAAAGGGAAGCATCCTAAGGGACATACAGTATGACTGTGAGATCAGGCCACTCTCTCAGCCAAGTTTCTGGATGAGTGCTTTGAAAAATAACAGTCCTTTTCCTAAAACAATGGATATAATCCTGAGGAAAATTGTGCAATCCATCAATCCTGTGGAGAGTTATGGTTTGAGAAGAAGTTTAGAGAGACGGAACAAACAGAAGAGGAGGACTCTAAATTGGCAATAAATGCTATTAAATCCCTGTAGTTCTTGCAGTTTGACATCTGCTAAGTGTATTATTTGTCATTTAGCCACATATGCACTGTCAGAGTGTGCTCAGGGAGCAATTGCCATGCCATGCAAGTTATGGTAGTTATTCTGCTCTGAAATACTAAAAAAAGAAAAAAAGGCAGCTTTCCTGTTCCCTATACAAGGCTGAACCAGGTGGGGAACTCCAGCCATTGCCAAATCATCACCAACCCCAAAGGATTTGTTATGGCAGGTTATAAAGACCTCCTAAATGAAACATTGTATTTGGAAGCAAAAAGGAGGGGAAAGAAAGGGAGAGCAATGCACTTGTAGATGGTTTTCTTCAAATATTTTAGAATAGATGAATATGGTGTTAATTAAGCTTACATTTTCAGGTACAGTTTATATGAACTAGGAAAATCCTAGCCTCTTCATGCATTCAGGCTTAAAGAGATAATATTGTAATCCATAGAGGTCAGGCTTGTTTTTCCTCAATTCAACTAAAGGAATAGAAAATTATTTTCATAGCACCATTCTTGAATTTGAAGAAAAAAAGAAAAAAAAGCAGGTTACACTTATAGTCAAATTTAATGAACTGCCAATAAGCAAAGCATTCAAGCTTTGTTCTACTGAGTATATGCATCAATCTTACCCTGAATCAAGGTCAACAAATTGTGGTGTTCAGAAATGCTGAGTATCACTGCATATGCTTTTTAATGATAATAATAGACCTTCATAATGACATAGTATATTATGCGGGCAGTTCTTAACATTACAATTTAATGTTAATATTAACAAAACAGAATATTTTTAATTCCTTAGTTTTTGTCTATTTTTTTGTTGTTGTTGCTGTTGTTGTTTTATTTTAAACCTGGACACCTGTCTGTTACATTCGAAGTTATTGCTTATTCTTATCGTCAGAATTTTGTAGAAGTACAAGAAAATGTGGCTGAAAAATGCCCTAAAAAGTTTGGAAATCTTGCTTACGACAATGAGTTGGGACTTGTTTATGAACTATCTTTTTGAGAACTCACCTTTGCAAAGACCAAGCAACACCCAAGGGAATTGTTGCATTTTGAAGCTTTTCTGTGGTTGGTCCCCTTGACAGAAATGGAAGTTTTTTGAAAATGTCCTAATGGTTTTTGTTTGTTTGTTTGTTTTTCTCCTTATGAATATCAGAGTGTAAAAAAGGAGGTTAGTTTTGTAGAGATATATATTTCAGCCTGTGTATTCTGAATGCTTGGCAGAGAATACATGAATATCAAAGGCTACAGTGATTTGGCAACTAGAAAAGGAAGGAACATATTTTTGCTAAAAGAAAATGTAATAAAATATGTAATCCTCACTGCCTTTGTAATCACCTCCCATGATATACTCTGTTGATTGGGAATTATTAGGCTAAGAAATAAAAAGCATATTCTACTTTTCTTGTGACCTGTCTTCTCTGAAGGGCTACTTGTCTATCAGTTCTGTCATTTGTGTTATATATATGTTTGCTAGTGTTTAGTGCAATTATAACGTCTCTAAACATTAATTGACAAATTTGTCCCTAAGGCTAGGGACTAAGCCTAAGATTTAAAGAGGATGTGAGGCACTGAGATTTTACTTAGAGTCCCTTTCAGGGCTGTGCATCCCTTGATTATCTTCCACTATACAGTTTGACTTTAAGGTACTATTAGATCTTGATCCAGCTCTGCCTTGCCTTAAACATAGACTCAGTGTCTCTTTTGACAGTAAATTATACAATAAATGAACTGAGACACTGTACACTAAATAAAACTGAGCCAACTACTTCCTCATCTCTTCATACTGGCAGAGGATATAAGTTGGATTTTTCATGATATTTTGCATGTAGAAAATTGAGTTTATAAACCTATTATCAGAGATGTTGCAGATTTTTGTCATTCATTGATACTAAGAATATAATACAGGATTCAGATTTATTTGATTATATTCTGCAGTTATCTCTTTAGATGCTAATTTGAGTTCTACTATTCTCTATTTTCATTAACATTCTTAGAAATTTTCTCAAATTCTTGTCTTGATATTTTATCTTATTGTAATGTATGGACATGCATGTTCAGTAAGTTCAGCAGATCTTTTTTTTTTTTTTTTTTTTTTTCCGAAGCAAGTGAAACCTTGTTGTAAATAACACAAAGAGAAAAACAATAGATCTATAAATATATACTGTGCCCTAGTGTATATACACTGCTTTAGTGTCTTTCTTTCTGCAGAGAAATGTGGTGTAGGTCAGAAACTGTTCACTGAGTGTGGTTTCTGTTTTGGGCTCAGGACAAAAAGAAAAAGGAAATCTCAGTGCCGAGACTGAATTTAGATTCTAGTTCTACATCTCTACCATCACAAATAGCTCACACTTGGACTTAAACACTACCCATAGTTACTTATTCTCTTTAATTCCTAGCACTCTCCAAGTAACAGTTTAAGTCCATGGTTATGCTGAAAATCTCTGATTGGGCATGGACAGGAATAGCACGGGCTAGTGGAAGGAAAAAAGATTTCATCCATTTGGATGTAAACTGTGGTGTTGCTTGCACTTCATTGTATTTACTGTTGTTGTTATAGCTCCAGACTTTACTTCAGCCCTCTTAGTATTTTGTCATACAAAGGAGGAGCCAGATATGATGAGAGATTAACAGATATGATTGCTTTGAATGTAAGATTTGATTAGGAAAGCGGTATAAGAAACAAGTTCACCAAGTTCATAAATAGCAATATTTAAAATCCAATAATTTCTGCTAATTACTTTAGTGAAATTTATAAGGAATCTGTTGTGGTTTAACCCGGCTGGCAGCTAAACACCACACAGCCGTTTGCTCACCCCTCCCTCTCTGGGATGGGGGAGAGAAATGGGAAAGCGAAGCCTGTGAGTTGAGATAAAGACAGTTTATTAAGACAGGAAAATAATAATAACAATAATAATAATAACAACAACAATAATAATAATAACAATGGTGATAATAGTACTACTACTAATAATGTGTACAAACAAGTGATGCACAATGCAATTGCTCACCACCTGCTGACTGATTCCCAGCCTAACCCCGAGCAGTCCAGCCCTTCTCCCCTGGCTAGCCACCCCTATATATTGTTTAGCATGACATCAGATGTTATGGAACACCCCTTTGGCTAGTTTGGGTCAGCTGTCCTGGGTCTGTCCCCTCCCAGCTCCTGCTGCACTCCCAGCCTGCCCATTGGCAGGACAGAGCAAGAAGCTGAGATGTCCTTGACTGGTGTAAGCACTACTCTGCAACAATTAAAACATTGGGGTGTTATCAGCACTCTTCTCATCCTAAGCCAAAACACAGCATTCTACCAGCTACTAGGAAGAAAATTAACTCTGTCCTAACTGAAACCAGGACAGAATCCCTCCTCAGGAATGGAAATGCCTTCACTTTCAAACTGGACACCAGAGGGCCATAGCTACAGAGGACAGGTCATTTGTCATAACTGCACTACACTTCTGGTAAGCAACTAGGCAAGCACCACCAGGATAGAGTTTGACTGCTTTTTTCTTTATACAAATGTATTTGCCCACATTTTTCAATGAGACTGTGAATACTCAATTTCTTCTGTGGAAAATAGGTAAAGAATAATTATTTCTTGTGTACTTGATCTTTTTAACATATGGTGTAGTCACTAACATACAAGTCACTAACATACAAGATCTAACAAGATGATTTGGGATCTCCTCTTTTTTTTTTTTTTTTTTTTTTTGTAATTACTATTAGCAAGGTGTATATACTTCTTTTGTCAATAACCAGAAAATATGTGGCATTTTGCTTCGCTAAATGTCCTAACAGAAATAATATACATTAAAAAACACATTCAAGGAATATTTATGTTGCACACAGGTTTATTGACGTATTTCTTAACAGAATTGTCTTTGATTTCCATTTCTGATCATAATAAAGATCATGGTGTTCCTTTCCAAATGTCAACACCCTAAAAGGTGTTAAAATATTTTCAATTGAGACCAAAAAGTGTTTGTTTTTTCTCCCATCCTCAGAAATTGTTGGAATATTGGGGACAGAAATTGGTTGGACAGAAACATTAGAGGAAAATACGTACCATTCACCTGATAGGTAGAACAGAAAACTTTCATATAAAACAATGTTTGGAAAAATTCTAAGTCTTATCACACAAAGAAGAGTGCTGGTTAAGTTCAATGCAATGAACAGCTATGGACATATGCGGCCTTTTCACTTTTGACAATTATTTCATGAGAAACATCTGATTTATGTGAACATATTTAAATCACTGAATGCTTGCTGAATAGTTTGATAATTCCCATCTGCAGGTTGTTCAGAAGCTGCCTAGTTGTATTTGCTCCCTTGGGTTGTGTGATTAATTTTATTGTGAATTACTCACAATAAAAACAATCAAGCCCCATGCCAGGGTGCCGGTGCTGTAGGTATGGCCAAGTACATGTATGCTTTGCCCACAGCAACTTGAATTCTAACACAGAGCATGTCACAAGAAGCTCTGGGAACAATCATAGACTGTGGAGAGCACACAGCATGTGCCATTGAGCATACAGCTGTAGGGCTATGCTTTCGTGCTGTCCAGACTCTGTCTCTTTGCCAGTAGTTGATTTCAGTGACGCAAGTCCCGGATAAGTATATGTAACTTGGAAGTACTAAATCGTCTGAGATTGCTTTACAGGCAATAAACTCCAATGTGTGTGTTCACAGATAGGTACAAAAGTATATGAATAAGTCAGTCTCTTCCTCACTCTCCCATTTGTCATTGTAATCACAACTTGGGTCTCATTTTGCCTCCCTGACCATGGCAGTTTTGGCAAGAGGCTGTGCAGCAGTCCTAGGTCTTCAGTTACAAGCAGAGAAGGGCGAGGCTGAAAATATTTTGCTATCAGCAGTTACTGGGGTTTGGACATAACTCAATAACAGAGAATTGTTTGTAATTGAGAATTAAGAGCATTTATACAGACTATCTAAAGTTGCTGAGGATTCACAAACTGTCCTGTGAATAGCTGTTGTCACAATGACTGCAAATAAAAGTCATCCCACAAATAGTAGCCAGGCCCTTGTTCATGAAATATTTCAATCTATGTATTCAGCTGTCCTAAAATTACTTGTGCAATAAGTAAGCTATTAACTTTTGTATGGAGAAATTAACCAGCTGGATGTGTTCCTTTAGTGATGTCGCAATCCGGTTGTTCTGTAATTAAGATTCTGCACGACAGTGATAACTATTAAGGGAAATCAGTTTGCTGAGGACTGGAGGCAAGAATAAAATTGTTCCTTTTGGCTTGTGACTGTGATGTTACACATGAACCTTGTCCTATTGGAAGGCTTACTCTGTTTCTGACAATACCCATGCTGCTTGATCAAAGCTGGGCTTCAAATCCGGTGAAGAACATCTGCTGTGTTGGCTCATAATTTGCTATGCTGGGCACGGTCATGCTCTGATAGGAAAGAAATAGAAGCAATAGAGATTTGAAAAATATTTGTAAAATTGTCCAGATGAGGTAAGTATGTTTACTTAAGTAATTCCTGCAGTGGAAGGTAGTAGTCATCCCTGCACTGTCTTGTTTATTCTGACTCCTAGATACTTGTAATTGCAAACAATTATCAAGGATTCCCATTGACTGACATAAGTCATTTCAATATCAGACCTAAAAATAGTGCACATCTGCAGTTTAGCACAGTGTAAACCAAAATGTTACTGCTTGAGATTTTCAGATAAATAAGAGATAAAACAAAGCCACTTCTGCTCATTAACAGTGTTAAATGAGTTAACGATAGTTACCTTAATAATTAAATTATTATTATTATTATTGATAAATTATTATTATTATTACTATTACTATTACTATTACTATTACTATTACTATTACTATTACTATTACTATTACTATTATTATTATTATTATTATTATTATTATGTTCAATAAACCAGAAAGTCCCAGCCTACAGCTTCAGAAACTATGATGTTTTGCTTTCTGCAGATGCATTTTCTTCCCTAAATTTATGAGAAAAACAAAGTAGTGCTTAATGTTTTTGTTTCCATTGCGTTAGAATTAGAAAATTTGGAGTCAACCACCACAGGCACAGAATATGTTTTAGGGCCAGTTATCATAGTTATGGAGAATGTTTTAATGTAGCAGGTATCCTGAGCACTAGTGACAGCCAAATGCTACATCAGGCAATAAAATATTTTTGCCTTATGCCTTATTTCTGTGAGATGTCTTAATTACCCACCACATTCCCCAATTACACCCCAAAATGAATCGTTAATATGCCATTTAACCAGCTGCTATGTATTACAATATATTATCATATATATATAACATGTATATACAATTCAGAACTTAATTTGGGTTTTTGAAGCATGAAATATAATATAAAATATTAATTTTATTTTAATGGATGGCGCTGGGTCTGAC